TCGGGTTCCCCAGAGCAACCGAATTGGAAATGAAATGCGATGCTTAATTAGTTTTGCTGCTGTCCGTTGCCAATCCCAATGATTATAATGATGACGCAGACAACGGGCGATGACTTTTGCTTAGCTCACGCCCTGACCAACATTAGGGCGAGATAGAGAGAGAGAGAGAGAAGCAGAGAGAGGTGGAGACATCCATAAATTCTTAGCTTGCCTTTAAGCGGGCTCTTATCACTCAAATTTAATGCCATTTCAACATTGTTTCTGCTGCTGCTGTTTTCCCATATTAACAAAGCATTTGACAGCTGGTGCATATCTAACATGATAAAAATGAGCTATGTGTGGGTGCATGAGTTTTAGATAAACAGTTTTTAGCAAACTTATCTCGACTATACAAATTTAGCTGTGAATTGAAGCTAAAATAAATTGAGTTTAAATTGCGATAAAGGAATAAGAAACAAGTATGGTTTCTACTTGCATGATATGTAGTGTTGGTATTTAAAATATATTCAAAAATAACTAAAACTCTTCGAATTTTTATAACATTTTATTCTATATATATATATTTTTTTGTTTTTGATTCAAATATTTCACCAAGTGAAAAGTTTATGTCGATTTTATAATATCTGCTATAAAATCTTGCTCAAATACAGAAAAATTATCAAATAAATTTTATAAATAATGTTAAACTTTAATTCATTATTTTTAAATTAATTCTATAAATAATAATATAACATAATCATATACATCAGAGTTAATAGTATTACAAATTATTTGAAATATAAAATTTGAAAAACTATAATAATTTTTAAACTAATTTTAACAAAATTGTATAAAGTAATTAATCATTTTGAATTTAATGTACAATAAAAATAATTTATAAGCAATATATATTAATTAAAAATTTAAAAAATATTCATAAATAACGAAAGATGTTCCAAATAATTTTATAAATAATAATTTATTATAATAAAATTTTTAAAACTAAAAATATAGTAATTCAGAAATTAAAATGAATTTATAAATAGTTTGTATTATTTAATTAAGTCTTAAAGATCATTTACTAATTGTTCTCTTTATAATTATTATTTTTCCCAGTTTTTCATGGTCTTCAACGCTGTCATTGAGTGTTCTTAGCCGTCTTCAGCTTAGGGTATTCAAATGTCAGTTAAGCTAAGCTCAGAGCTGTGTTATCTTGTTTATTGTTTACATTTGAATTACGAATAACTTTAGTCACAGCTTAGCCCATGCAAAACCCTTGCAAAAATACTTTAGCACATATATCCAGTTATAGAGACGAAAGAAAAAAACTAGAAGCTCGGCAACGACAAGAACTTTTGTGCTGATAACGTGCAACAGCAGCAGGAAGTGTCCGGTACAAGCTCCAATGTGAGAGAGGAAGACGAACAGCAAGAGCAACAGCAAAAGCAACGACAAAAGAGTGAATTGCAGTGAATCAGGCCTGGGGTAAGGCCTCTTCAGAGCCGCAAAACCTGGAGTGCGACACAAAAACCTTGTCGAACGATAAAGTTGCCTTTGCCGTCTGCTGTCTGCCGTCTGCTGCGCCATAACTCGGTTGCATAAATCTTGAATGGGGCTTTTTCGGTTAGGCGAGTGCAGCCCTAGGTGACATCTTTGGTGACGTTCAACTGGCGACTGGCGACTGAAGCAAAACCACGTCCAGATACCAGACAGTTAGCCTGCAGCACTGCATAATAAATTGCAGCCATGGCGTTATAAATATTCCAGCTGCCCACACGCAGCTGCTCGCCCAGGCCCGACCCGCACCGTCCCGCCCCTGCCCCTATACTGTCGACCCTTGGCCAGTGACTGACGCAGCGCGCTGGCGTCTGTTGATAAGCATCTGGGCAACAATTTCGCACATGACCAATGCATGAAGATTACAACTGCTAACTGAAATGCTGACACAGATAAAAAACGGACGAGCGCCCAGCAAAGAAATAAAAATAAAATGTGTCTGAGAATTTGAATTAAGTAGTCGCAGTTGAACTGCCCTAAAGAAGTCAAATCGCATAACTGATGTGAAATACTCTCTGATATAATACGAATTCTAATTCAAATGACAATGACAATGACAATAACAATGACAATGACAATGACAATGACAATGACAATGACAATGACAATGACAATGACAATGACAATGACAATGACAATGACAATGACAATGACAATGACAATGACAATGACAATGACAATGACAATGACAATGACAATGACAATGACAATGACAATGACAATGACAATGACAATGACAATGACAATGACAATGACAATGACAATGACAATGACAATGACAATGACAATGACAATGACAATGACAATGACAATGACAATGACAATGACAATGACAATGACAATGACAATGACAATGACAATGACAATGACAATGACAATGACAATGACAATGACAATGACAATGACAATGACAATGACAATGACAATGACAATGACAATGACAATGACAATGACAATGACAATGACAATGACAATGACAATGACAATGACAATGACAATGACAATGACAATGACAATGACAATGACAATGACAATGACAATGACAATGACAATGACAATGACAATGACAATGACAATGACAATGACAATGACAATGACAATGACAATGACAATGACAATGACAATGTATAACAAACGCTAAGCTTAAGCTTTTCTGTTCTCATCTGCAATATTTTAAGGAGCTTTTCCATGTTTATTCCATTCCAACTCTCCTCTCACGCTTTGCTTTGGGCGTATTGCATACTTTCAGGTAGCCAAAGCCAAAAGTGTTAAATGGAAAACAATAATAACACTATGAGAGATGGTGGGGGTGGACTAGGGAGGGTTGGGCTGGTTGCCCTCTGGACAAGCCCATTAAATTGTAACTGTTTGGTGCTGGAGCCGCGGCTCAGTGGACAAAATATGCGGCAAGGACAATAAATTAATGCGATTTATTGCAGCGATAAGCGCCGAATGAAACTGTAAACGAATACGGCCTCAGGGGAGGGCGCCGAGTGGGTTGGCAGGGGTGGCGAGGGTGGCCGGCCGTGGCGTCTTCATGTGTGGGCTTGCCCACAGATAAGACTCGCATGGGTGGCATGCAAAAATGTTGTGCGTGCCGTACCGTTCGTCAAGTGACTTGAAATTAACGATGCCACGCCCCTTGCCAGACGGCAGCGCCCACACGCTGCTAAGCAGTGCTCGTCGTACTTCACATTTAATTAGGGCTCAATGCGCATTAAGAAAATGCCCCAAAAGTGCCCCGAGGCACGCCCCTTCTGTCTGCCTCACATCCATGGCGCCCCCCCTCTTTGGCTTTGCATCCGCATCAAAATGCCTTTTTAATTAAAAGAAGAAAAATATAGAAGGACCAGAAAGTTCGTCAAATGATGTGTGAGAAGTCGATAGAGCAGCGGGCGCTAAATCACAAAGCCAAACAGGATAAACAGCAGTGGCGTGACAAGGGTGTTTGGATTAAAACAAAAAATGAAATTTTGAAAAAAACGAAAAAAAAAAACTGAAAACACGTAAAAGGAAATGCAAAAATCCGCGCAATCGTGCAAACGCTTTTCCAAGCGCTGTGAAAATCTTGTGAAAATTTGTTGAGCGTGCAAACTGCTGGTGGTTGGTTTTTGGTTTGGGTTTTGGCCGCTCACCCTCCGTCGCTCTGGGTGTCTGCCGACTGCCGGCTGCCGGCTGCCCGGCAATAATTGCATGAAATGCCCAAAATTTGTGCTGAGTGCCGCACAAAACGGTTTTCTAAGCTGGGGTGTGGGCCAAATAAAGACTGGAAGCTGGTCTGGCCAGACGCTAAGCCGGGACATCGCTGTTGCTGCTGTCGCTTTGGCCAGCCACTAAATCACAACCAAAAGCCGCTGTTAAAACATGAGCCAGCCCCGTAATGGGTGGTTGAGAAACGATGGCACTAAAGCCAGCACCAGCACCAGCAGGAGTTGGATTGGCTTGGTGGTTGCCAAAGGGCTGCTGGTTGCAGCCGCAGCAGCAGCACGACACGTGCAGCACATACAGCCCAGAGCTACGGCAACTGATACGGATATATAGATTTCATTAGGTGATCGCAGCAAGTAGCTCAAAGTGCCCGCTAACCATGGCCGATGCTCATTCATTATTTAATCTTCATCTAAATCTATGAAACCCAATCGATATGCGCAGCTGATACAATAAACAAGCAGAAATAGCCGGAAAATTTGATAGATAAGATTTCAAGGGAGATTTTTATATCATTATTTCAAGGGAGACTTTAATGTGAAAAAAAAAATACCTTTTAGAATTTTCTCTGCTGTCGTAATTAACCTACATCTTTTATTATTATTTATTTCATTATTATTTATTATTTAATTAAAATTTAATTTTATTATTATTCAGTTTATGGGAGTAGAGCAGTTTGAGAAATTTGAATTTTCTTTTCCAATTGAAATTAAACAAAAAGTTGACACTTTTTTATTACTTTTTTAATTATTTTTATATTTTATTTTTAACTTAATGTGAGTTTTATATTATTCAAAAAGTTACAAAATTTTTATTTGACTTTAGTTTTGTTCTGTCTTTGATTTCAAATGCATTAATTTGTAAATTTTTCAATTGATATATTAAATTAATACATATATTTTTTAACTTTAATAAAAAAATATAATTTCAATTTTTTTTATAAAACAAATATATAATAAATTTATATTTTTTTATTTTAAATTTATATATACGAAAAAAATAATTCTAAGTAAGTAAGTATGTGGTCAAATAAAAAGCTTAGTAAGTTTAATATTATTTTTTGTAAAATTGTCACACTTAATTGGAACTAATAACATATTTATAACATTTTATATTTGATCTTCAATAATAATGCTCTTGATCAAAAAATTTAAATTAAAAACAGATTTTAAAATTTAAGAAAAGACTTTTGTATATATTTTATATTTCTATATATATGTAATAATAATAATAAAATAAGTTTTAATCAACGCAGAGATAAACAATTAGTTTGGCTTAGTACAAGTGGAGTAGTGGGAGGAGAAGGAGGACTATGTACACATTGACAGTCCCAGTTAGAGCTCTGAGATAGTGCGTATGTCCACGGCCATTTCCTCGAACTGGACGTCATCGTCGTCGGTGACAAGGCAGGCTGTTGCCTCGGTGTTGGCGTTGCGGTGTCCTCGCAAAATGGAGGCGTTCTTCAGCTTGGCGAAGGTCTTCTGGAAGCTGACAGCCTTCTCGTAGCTGCCGCCGTTGGGCCTCTTCCAGCGGTACGTGATGCTGGCCGCGATCACGATCAGCATAATGGCCAGCATTAGGAACCACATGAAACGTGCCGGACTTGGACCACTTCGCCTGTCGCTCTCGCCCTTGATCTCATCCGGCAGCACGGTCCAGGAAATGACACCACGATGCGATTTTGTGGGATGTGCTGCAAAGAGCAAAATAAAGTGAATAATGAAATTAAATAAAATTGGGGGAATCAAATTAAATTTGAGAAAAATCTTAAATCAAATTAAATTACTTACAAATTTATTTATATAGATTTATATATAAGATAAACATTATTTGAGCTATTTTAAATAGTATCGCATATTAGTATAAAATATTTCCTTTTTTTATATTTATAAAAAATATAAATTAATTTAAATATTTCACATTTTCCTTATTCGAAATATATATAAAATTTAATCTTTATAATAATATTAAATTGAATGCCTTTCTATGCTTTAAATTATTTATAAAAATAAATAATTATCGAACTTAATTATTTAGCTCAAAATTTGATATTAACAAAATTAGTTTTAATTTTCCTGTATTTTTAAGTTATTTATGTACTTTTTTTTAAATTATTTTATTTATAAAAAATAATATTTATTTATACAACTTACCTGATGTTTCAGCTGTCCTAGCAGTGCTAGACGTTGTCGCTGTCGTCGTCGTTGATGCTGCTGTTGTTGTTGTTGTTGTGGTTGTTGTCTTTGTTTTTGCTGCTGCTGCTGTTGTTGTTGTGTATGGCATGTTTGTTGTTGCTGTTGTTGTTGTTGTTCTCTTAGTTGTTGGTCTGCGAGTTGTTGTTGTTGTCGTTGTTGGCTTAGTTGTTGTTGTTGGCGTTGCTTTACGCGTAGTTGTTGTTGTCTTGAGTGTTGTTGGCACTTTCGTTGTCGTTCTAAGCGTTGTTGGCACTCTTCTCGCTGTCGTTGTTGTTGTTGGTTTTGGCGTTGTCTTTTTTTCGGTCGTCGTCGAGACTGTCGTAGGTGTTGCCGTTGTCGAATCCGCGTCAGCTTCAATAAAACATGTCAGGGCATAGTCAGGGCAACAGTTCTCCTGATCAACGCAACCGATATCGCAGCCGCAAGCCTTAATCAATTTGCCATCGGCGCGCACCTCATCATCCAGTGGTGCCGGCTTGGTGCAGCGGTTAGTGCAGTTCATTGTGTCATAGATCACCGGCTCCAAGGTCTCGACCACTGGCGGCTCAGTCGTTGTGGTAAAGGAGCCACCGCCACACAGTTCGCTGCCCGTCATCAGACGCACATCGTCGATGGCGATGTCGCCGAAGTAAGCCGACGAATCGGTCGTTGTGAATATCACTTGAAAATCGCTCGGCATTTCATCAATGGATATTGTATGCTCCAGCCACTGGTTGCCCTGATTGCCCGATATTACGAACTTTGTGTATCTAAATGAGAGAAAAACACAGCACAGACAGAGAGAGAGATAGAGAGAGAGGGAGAGGCAGAGTTAGTATAAACGACTTATCGCAACATCCGCTTTCAACTGTGAGCACTTACTTCTGTCGATACTGCGTCCACATTTGCTCCACACGCAAGTCTTGCGGCTTGACCGAGACCACCAAACCGCCAACCTTCGAGCCGTACATAAAGTAATGAAAGCGGAAACAGCAGGCGGTCTTGAGGCTCAGCTCTCGCGGATAGATGGGCGACACCAGGTGATGCGCGCCGGTTGAGAAGACAGATGTCTCCATCAGCATGTAGTGTCCGCCATAGGAATTCTGCAGGGTGTGATCGTGGCGCGGTCCCGTGCGGTACGAATGAAAGTGACCCACGGTGGCAACACGGCGCCAGGGCTGCACGAGCGAATAGTTCGGCTGCCAGCCGCACAGATCTTCGCTCTCGAAATCACAGGCGTGACTCTGCGTGTGATTGCGATGCCGACAAAAGCCCAGCATGCGATCCCAAGTGCGCCCATTGCAATAGGCCAGACCGTTTCCTGCCACAACATATTCATCATTGCACATGACGACGGCGGCCAAGTTGCGCTGCATCTCGATGCGGCCATTGTCCGGATCGATCGGCTGTATGCAACCAGACTCTGTGTGAAGTTAGAACAGATATCAGAGAAGTGCATAGCTTATGACTGGCACCATTTGACGTCGCGCCTGGTACTTACTGGCACAAAAGGGCCGCTCGCCACTCAGACGTCCGCCTTGGCCACAGGAGAGCATCGAATTGCCCATTAACGTATAGGTGGGCGCGCAGCGGAATCGTAGAAAATTGCGTCGCGGCCAAATGAGTCCATTCTCCAGTTCTTCGGCCTGAGCGCAGCGCCCCTCCACCGCCTGCTGCTGCAGCGCCAGCAGCAGACACAAGGCTAAACCAATATTTGTCCGAGAGTTGTGGAACATTCTAAGTCCGAACTATGACTGAAGTTCAGCTCTCTGGCTCTCTGCTTGCCTGCTCATTGTTATTCGCTTGCTTCTCTTGCTTTGATGATAAGTATAGAGGCTTCAGCGATAAGGCGCGCCGACTTCTATCCAGAGTTTCCGTACTTTAACTTCCACTTCTTCAACGCTCACTCATATTTTCGTTCGATTTTAACATTAAATTGTTCATAATTATTTGTTTATTACTCATTTATTATTTATAAAATTTATTTAAGCTTTCTGAATATACTAAAGTTCTGTCTCAAAATAAACTAAAAGAAACTTTATTATAATAAACTCATAATAAAAGGTTCAGTAAATCGTAACTTTTATAAACTACCCTCGTAAAAATATGTTTTATCTTGCGTTTGGACATTTTAACTGAAATAAAACATGAAAATGTGTTTACTCAAACGTTTTTAATATATTAAATATCAAATATTTTATGCATTAAAAATAATTATTTTATTTTTGTATTTTAATTTAAAATTTTATCTGACTATTCATTAAACTCGTTAAAATATTTTATAAGTAAAAATAATAATATTTGATTATTTATTTTATATTTTAATAATAATATTTTATAAATATATTTTAAAAAATAATTAATAATATTTTAATATTTCTTTAATATATTCATTTAATAATGATAATATAATTGCAAAAGCAAGAAAGTTTCTAATGAGTTATATATTTAATCGATTCTCTCTTTCTAAATCGATATATATATATATATATATATATATATATATATATTCATATTAATTTTTTAAATAATTAAAGCATCCAATAGTTTCTTTATGTCTTTCTTACAATATCTTATAAAAGCGCTTATAAATATTTTTAAGAATTGTTATATATTTTATACTTAACGACAAGTCGATTGCCCCTTCCTAAATCGATATATATCGACATACGTCCTACTTAGAGTGCACTTCCTTAACTTCCGTTTGTCTGTCAACAGGCAGCACTTCAGTTTCATTCGCTCCAGTCAACTGCTCGCTAGCCGACAACTTTATTTATGGAGTTAGACATACTTTCCGTGCCAGAATTGTGTTTGGGTTTTGTATTGATATCAGATGCAATTATGCGCATCTCCTGTGTTGGTGCAGCTAAATGGCAGCAGCTTCTTCCTGTCGCCTGGCTTAAATGATGTTGCCAACTGAAGCTACATAATTGCATTGCCCAGTGAGTCGCCCTCCTTAGCTATTGCTACCCCATTCTGGCTGTGATTTATGTTGACTTCCGTTCGCATCGCAATCACGACTGTCTGAACCGCCCCGGCGCTCACTTTTCGCCGTGTTGAGATAATCAGTCAATATTGACAACTACTTATTGGCACTTCCGTTGCAAGCCCCGCAGTTGTCTCTCGGCCGCAGCCGCCGTCGCCAATGGCGACACGTGACCAAACGCTGGTCGAAGCTCCCAGTCTCTATACTCCAATTCCAGCTGCAACCCAGCCTCGGCACGTGGCGCGGGTAGCAGTTGCTTTCTCTTGCCACACTTGCAATTCAAATTTCATTCATAATTGCAATCGCGATTACGAGGGTTGCTACTGCGAGGGTTTTGGTTTATCAACGTTCCAGCTTTCCGGCACGAGCTCAACTTATGCAACGGGGGCTCGTGTGTGTGTCTGTGTGTGCGAGTGCTGTCCTCACTCCCCACTCCCTCTTTAAACATTTGCTCATTATGATTATAACATTTATTAGCGCTGCTGGTTTTAAACTTCAATATTTGCGCGTCAAATTACGCCGCTGGGAAAAGATCTTTCGCAATGGCCTCGTCCATGGTTCTGATAAGGCCCATAAAACGCCTCCCAGCGCGTGCTAGCTAGATATAACACCCCATTTCAACATTTGCCCATTGCCATTCCCAGTGCCCAGGCTCATTTTCGTAGCCCTTCCCAACGTGCGGCTGCACTCAGCCGCGGTTGCCAGACGACCAACTCCATAAGCCCAATCAACGGCTGGGATTAGACTCGGCTCCATGTTGAGCAGCAGCTGCTATTGCCATCTCTTTGCTACTCTTAAGTCTTGAGCCCAATTCTCTAAGTCAAAAGTTCGCCTAATTGGCCGCATTGCTAAGTTACATAGTCTGGAAGAGAGCAAATCCAGCTTAACACCTTACAAGTTCGTATTAATTACAACTGTTTACATTTTATTTACAATATTTTGTTTCAGTTCACGGTATCTATATAAATAATAAATTAAATAACAGAGTTCAATTACCTTTTAAGCCTAGAAATGTGTAGTTATAAGAGGAATATCAAATTCATTTTACAGTTTCCTTATTCTGTCAAATTTTGTTGTGATTGGCTCCTGTAGTTGCACTTGTATTAGTGAGACGCTAATAGCTTGTATAGAGTTGTAAAATATTATCCGTGTGAGTTTGCGTTTAAGTTGCACGCTTCTCACGCATAGAGAGAGATAGAGAGAGACAAAGATAGTTGTTGCTGATCGTAGTACCAGATATTACTTAGTGAGAGCGAGATGGCTATATAGCCGCTTACACAGGGTCATTATGATTTTAATGGCCGAACAGGACAATACCAGAAATGAAGAGTCTCACAGTAGTAAGACAGCACATTATTAACCAATCAAAATGTGTTAAAATTAAACTTGCACTCACTATGCTCTCTTAATGATTATTTTTTTTGTTTTTATGTTTGTTTAATATTTTTCTTTAATTCGTATTGTTTATTGTTTTATTGAAACTCTTATTTGGAATTTTTTGGTAATTTTTCTTCGTATTTGCAAAAGTGATTTCAATGAAGTTTCGACAGTTTTGCTCGACTATTTAATCATGTTATTTATTTTCTATTGCTATTTGATGCTCTCCATTCGCTGTCTAATTCGGTTTCTCTAAGTCTTTTGTCTGAATGCCCCGCGGCTGTTTCCCCAAACTTGCGGCAAACTTTTCGACTGCCAGTCAATGAGCAGACAGACAGTCAGTGTTGCCTGATGCGATTAGGGGCGAACGGAAAACCTTGCTGCAAAGTCTTGCACATATGTGGAAGCACGCACACCCACGCACATCCAGGCAGACAACTTCAAAGATTACACAGATAATTAATAAAATTAAACCGAAAAAGCACTCAACGCTGCCAGCATTCACAGTCGCACTCGCCGTCGCAGTCACAGTCAGAGTCACAATGGTAGTCACAGTCACTGTGCATCGGAGCATTGAGGCCAATTGGTTGACCAACATTAGGCAACCGCAGGCAAGTCAGGGCTGCCTCGCTTGGTCAGCTGCTGGTCGCATTAATTACAAACCAATGGCCGCAAAACTTGTCTGTGTGTGTGAGAGAGAGAGAGAGAGGGAAAGTAAGAGAGTGAGAGACACATACACAGCATAATGGTTAGCTATTTGTTGGGCATCCAGTTAGAGTTCGTATAGGTAAATTACTTGTTCGCATCTTTAATTTGTGTTAATTTATGAAACTCATTATGTGGCCACGGGTGGCACAAGTTGCGCAAGTTGTGCGTGCCACGAGCCACAAAAGCCGCAATAGAAGTGGCCAAGAGCCACAGCAACTGCCTGCCTGCCTGCCTGCTGGCTGATCTCTTCAAAAAGTTGCCATTGCCGCTGCGTCCGAAAGTTTTCGCGTAATTTCATTTTAAGTCCTCCAAAGTTGTTAGTACTCGCAGCAGTAGCAGCAGCAGCAACGGCAGCGGCAGCCGCAGCAACAACAAGTTGCAATTGTTTTTCGTCCACGTTTCGAGTCGAGTTTTGTGGCACGACTAATGGCCTCGCCCGCCACGCCCCCTCGCTCATTATGCTTGTGATTTTTGTAGCATAAACCACGCGATGCCTAGCAATTCCACGAATTTGCACCTGCACATAAATGTGGCATAAATCCAATTAGGCGGCATAGGCAGCGCTTTAATTGACATACACCTGTCTGCACAGGTGTGTGTCGGTATGTTATGCTGTGTGGGCGTGCCAGTTCGTCTTCTGAATGGCAGTAAATGAATTGCATATGTAGGCTTTTGTTTCCACTCTCTCCTGGCTGGCTTTTGTATGAATGGGTTGCCAGGTCGTTGGGTCGTCGGGTCAGCAGTTCACCTGGTTACAGCAACACACGACTAAATCTATATCAATGTAATATATATATGTATGCATGTATGTGTGTGTAGCCACTGGCCTAGATCCCTGACATATGCCTGGTCCAGCGCGTATTTTATTTACCTAAATATTTGGCTATATTTTTTTTTTGTGGCTTAAATTTTTGCGGCTGCGTTGATTAGAAATTTACATTTTATGCCTGAATTTGAGTAATTTGTAATAAAATGCTTAAAGCTGAGATTAATTAAACTAAAAAATAAAATGCAAATTTCTATTTCATATCATTATTATTTATTTTCAATTATTATTTTATAATATTCAAAATTTTTCAGATTTAATTTGCTTTTTTTTTCAGTCAAATATTTGTTTTGAGGGCTGGAAATAAAATCACAAAAATACGTTGACTAAGTTTTTTGTGCTAGCTAAAGCTTACATAATAATAATATAAAACAATCATTTTCATTAATTTGTTATGCATACAAACAAACATTTCTAATTAGTTATATAACGCAGCTTAATGCTAATTTATTAGGTAAGACATCGTGTAAGGTAGGAACGAGTGGAGTCGCTGAGTCGCCAACATTACGCAAAGAGATTGAAACAGTTTTCAGTTAGGTCTTGTTAAAGCACCTTGACCATTCCCATTTCAAATTTACCTGTCCTAAATTTATTTCTACAAAGGTATTTTTAGCTGCTTTGCCTTAAGAATGAATTGCAGATTGAGTTTATTTAAAGTTGTCGACTTTCTTGTATAACTTAACAATTTCAGTTGTCTGTGATAAAATGTCGTTATTAATTCAGTCGATACGCCTGAAAAGCAAGTCATACTTGTTTATCAAACGATAACAAATAAAGTTATCGACTTGATGGAATAAGTCAAGAATTTAACTTATCTAGTTAAAGTATATTTCAAATTA